GCTGAAGGTAATTTAATTGTGCAAATCTATGTGGATGATATTATTTTTGAAGTACTAACCTAGTGTTATGCAAGGATTTTTCAAACATCATGAAAGAGGAATTTGAAATGAGTATGATGGGAGAATTAACATTCTTCCTTGGGCTACAAATCAAGCAATTACAGAAAGGGACTTCATTAGTTAGACAAAATATACAAAAGAGCTTATCAAGAAGTTTGGCATGTCTAATGCTAAGGACATACAGACTCCTATGAGTCCATCAACCACCCTTGATCAAGAAAAAGATGGTAAGAGTGTTGATGAAACAATGTATCGAGGTATGATTGGATCTCTACTCTATCTTACAACTAGTCGACATGATATTATGTTTAGTATTTGCAAATGTGCAAGATATCAGTCAGCTCCCAAAGAATCCCACTTGAATGTTGTTAAACGTATTATCATATATTTGATAGGGACAATCGACTATGGACTATGGTACGAATGATTAAATGTCTTTGATCCCAAAGGCTTTTCAGATGCATATTTTGCAGGTGATAAAATTGACAGGAAAGCACAAGTAAAACGTGCCAATTACTTGGAAAATCCCTTATATCTTGGCACAACAAGAAATAAAGTTGTGTTGCCTTATCTACTACTGAAGCAGAATATATGGCTGTAGGCAACTGCTGCACACAAGTCCTATGGATTATGCATCCACTGTTAGACTATGATTTACGTCTTAATTGCGTTCCAATTATGTGTGACAGTACTAGTGCTATTTGTCTTTCAAAAAATTTTGTGCGTCATTCTAGGGCTAAGCACATTGGGCTTAAACATCATTTTATCCGTGATCATGTTGCAAAAGGTGTCATTGTGTTAGAACTTATTAATACTGAAAATCAGTTAGCAAATATTTTCACAAATCACTGCTTGAAGAGAGATTTTGTTTTCTTCGTGACAAAATTGGTATTTGTTTGATTCCTGTTTAATTTCTCTAAATTTGCCTATTTTAGAAAATATTCCATAAGTGTTCTTCGTGATTTTCGCCTAAAATATCTCTAAGTGTATTTGATTACTCTGAATGTGCATTAATTACCTGACTGGTGGCGGGCTTGCAGAAGATAATTTTTCAGTTGCCTTTCACACGTCTCTCCAGAATCGAGGAGTCCATTCATCATCAGTCACCCTCTTTTTAACCCCGGCCTCTTCTCGTTCATATCTCCCACTATCACAAAGAAAGCTTCTCTCTGCTCTCTCTTGCTCATGGCCAAAACCAAACCCTCTTCATCTTCCTCCATGGCTAGAAGAAGTCGTCGCTTCAAGAAAAATCATCAAATTGATAATCCGGTGGATGTTCAATCGCCAGAAAGTACAGATCATCAACAATTCGAGGATGAGTCCAGTGATTCTCAAGAAGAAATTCTCATTGCTCAAAAGAGGGATGGAAAACGTCCAATGGATTCCATCCCCAAATAGTCTTCGCAAAAGAGAGGGAAAACAGAAAGCATAAAATTTGGGCCAGAAGACAAGATGAACTTTTATAGTGAAAGCAAAATTTGTTGCCTACAAAGGGAAGTCGATTGCCTATGGTCATACTGTAAGTTTGAAAATCTATGAAAAACTCTCACTGTGATGTTATCTCAGTGTTTGAAACTCAAAAACTTCTCTCCTTATTTGCAATTGTGGGTGACATTGTCTATGAAGAGCCTGTGCATATGTTTTATGCTAATTTGTTTGTGAATGACAAAGATGACTTAGAATCCATAGTTTTGAGAACTTGCATTATTCTTGACTCTTATCAGTTTAAAAAGATCTTTGCAACTAGGTTTGTTGGGTATAGTTTCTTTGTGCAACATTCTTGGCCTGAAAGTTTTGAAGTGTCGTTTAAAGAACCAAAAAGTGTGTTGTATGAAATCCTCCCTGATATTGGTCCCAAAAATCTGAATTTGAGCATCGTATACCAGCCCACATTATTGCTACCACTTTGTTACCCCGTACTGGTTCTCTTAGCACCCTGTCTCTTAGAGATGTGTTTGTCATGTACTGTCTTGTGAATGGGAAGGCTATTAACTGCTTTGCTTGGGCGCGTCAGTACATGCTTAAAAGCATCAGGGATGCCTCTTTTTCTGCTAACAGCTACTAATCTCTCACATCTTGCAAGTTATGAAAGTAGATTTTCTTTCTATGCCCCTAAAACCATCTCTATCACATATTACAAGACTGCCTTTGCTATGATGGGGTACACCCTGGTTGAGGGAACTTGGTTCAAGAAGGACAAAGCACCAAAATTCACTTCACAACACGACACTGGAGGGATCAAATATGAAGCAAGCAAATCCTCTTCCTCATATCCATTGCTACTGTAGTTATTAAAGTTGATGATATCTTGTGTGGAGACTAATATAATAAGATACAAGAATTATAATTTATGAATTTCACTCCCACATATTAATGTGAAGTCTTTTATGTGAAAATTATACTCCAACATGACTAAGATCTTGTATATTATTTTAAAGTATTTTCTAACAGATATGATTACTATATGATTGGCTTCTTCTTTACTAATATACATGGTAGTACGACATTTAAGAATAGACAATACCTTGGGGAGTGTGAAAAGGGTTGTGTTAGGTTGGCAAAGGTACCTAACCAAATCAAAAATCCTGGCGCAAGGGATTGTGTAAGGATGCCAGATGGGTTAGGCTGGAGAAGATAATAAGTCGTTCTCTTTTCAATATAATTATTTTTACTATTTTCTCCATATCTTCAAGAATTATTTCATATATATATAGTTATATACTCCCTCCGATCACTTTTACTTATCCACAATACTAAAAATATATTTTTACTTTTACTTGTCCACCATACTAAGTCAAGAAAAAAATAATCTTTTTTTTATGTTTTACCTTTATCATTAAGTACTCATTCCCCGAATCATTTCCCAAGATTCTTGAAAATACTATCATTATCCTGGGTAAAATTATAAAATATATACTTTATTTAATTTTTTTAAAGGAAGTACAAAATCAAGAGTTAACAACTAGATGTGAACAGAGGGAGTACTATTTACGAATTTAGCCAAAATATTTAAAGGAAAAACAAGAAGATAACAGGAGGGAGAGAAAGAAGTGAGGAGAAGAAGAAGAAGAAGAAGAAGGGATATTTCGTCCACAATGGCTGAGCATCTCCGCCACGCGTCCATAAACTGAAGGTATGACTTTTGTCGAAGCAGGTACGGCTTACTTTGTCCACTAAGGGGTCGTTTGTTGGAATGAAGTCATCCCAAACTAATTATCTCAGGACTAGTTATTTCGGAATTAGTTATTTCATCCTTTTATGAGGATAAAAAGATACTACAATTCCGGAATAACTAATCCCGGAATTAATTATACTGCACTATTCTACCAACCAAACATGGGATAAACTCTTCTTAAATTTAGTCCTGAAATTAATTATTTCTTATCCCTCATACCAAACAAGCCCCAAGGCTTGTCTTTACTAAGGACCCGTGTATCCATAGATTTTTTTTTTTTTGAATTTTTTTAAAAAAAAATTATGTTTGTTCATAAAACTTTGTAAGCTTTTAAAAAAATTCGGAAAGAGTTTTTCAAAAACAAAAAAAGTGACCACTTTTCAAAATTTTCCAAAATTTTTTGTAGGTGATCTTTTTGGAAAACCCATTTCCGAAAATTTCCCAAAAACTTGCAAAATTTCATGTACAAACACATTTTTGAAGAAAAAAAATCGAAAAAAAGGAAATTTTTTTAAGGACAAACGGGTCCTTTGTTTTCCCACTCACAAAACTGCAATATTTTTCAAGTGAAATGCATGTCCAAACATAATTTCAAATATTATTTTTCAACTTAACTCCAAATACTAGTTTTTTTCAAAAATTACAATTTTATGTCCAAACGCCTACTAAGGTTTGAATCTAATACCTCGTGATTCTCAACCCACTCCATTGACCACTAGGCCACACTCTTGATAATTAAGTGAATGAAATATATATATATATATATATATATATATATATATATATATATATATATATATNTATATATATATGATTAATGCCTTTGCTGCCTCACAGTTGAAAATTAAGTGAATTGAATTTGTAAATCTGAGTCTTGAGGAGACAAAGTACCTCAAATCATCTGCCAAAAATTTTGAGGACAGTAATTCATATTGAATAAACATCTCTGTACATAATTAATTGCTCAGTCCCAATCTCTACCATTACTCACTATTGATAAAAGCTCTGAGCATAAAAATTGAAATAGTGCATCCAATTCCAAAAGTTGAAATAAAGATAGTTCCAATACGACATCCAAATACTGATACTGGTAATAATTTAAGCAAAGGGATTCAGTATAACCAATAAGGTAACAGCTTGACACATTGTTTTCATCATCAAAAAAGTAGGATTATTAACCTAAACTGCTCCAGACTAAAGGCAATGAATATAATTCCACAGCTAACAACAAAAGCTGCATTTTCTTAATATCAAATACACTGAATCATGTGATATAGAGTAAATTGGCATCAAACAAACTCGCTTATTTAGGGAACCTTTCTTCTCAAATTTTCCATATGCCTACAGCTAGTAATGTATACTACTCCCAGAGACTCCAATGCTCATCTCTCTGACCATCATCTCTACAGACTACACTTATAAAGAACGCAAGTCGCAAAGATAATCCTAAGTAAATTGTAGATACCTCAGAAACAGAAAACAGTTTGTTGCTTGCAATGAACTGAGTAGTCAACTAATTAACCTCGATATAATTAGTAGTGCGCTCAAGAAAACTGATAATTCAAGTACAGAGGAGGAGCAAATAAGGAAAGTGCAGTATACATACCCAAAAAGATTCTTGTTCATGATAATTTCCTTTTCACTAACAAATATATAAGCTCCCAGACCCCACTGGGTTGTTGTTGTTGTTGTTGTTAACATATATATAAGCATTAGTAGTAAGCAGACTCAATTTGTAGAAATGCACAGAATACATAGACAGAGATGAAAAAATAAAGTTGCAGCATCTACTCTTCTTTAAGACAGGCTGGAAAGGATTTAATCAAAAGGAGAATGGAATCCGATATAACGAATAAGGCAACAGTTAAAACCATTGTTTTTTACATCACGGAAAGTAGGATTATCAATCTGAAGTTCTCCAGACTCAAAGCAATGAGATACAGTTCCACCAACAATAGCATAAGCTGAATGATCTTAATTCCAAATATCACAATCTACCAAATCACGTGCGGAACTCTGGTAGAGGACAAAGCCTTAGCAAACAATCTCCCCGACAAAACTTGAGCACCGACTCCTTGCACAAAGAAATTTCTGCATCTATGCCTACAGCCAGTAAAAGTTTACCACTCTTGGGAACTCATATGCTAACTTCTGTGACCTTCATGTCTACACTTACAAGCTTGCCTAAACCACCCTAAGTAAAAGTAGAAAACTTGGAAAAGGGGAAAAAGAGAGAATTACTTGTTGCTAGTGAAGAATCTTCTTCCAGTCAATTGAGAAAGGAGTCATTCAGAGCGAAAACGGGAGTCAAAAAGCTTAATCGTTCATGAAAGAAGAGATTCATCTCGTTTTATGGTTCAAGAGAATCCTTAGTGTGACACTTTTCATACCATCAGCCTCTAACGAGCTTGTTCTCTTCATAGAAGGAGTCAATGAAAATGAAATAAGGATATCCAAATTACGAAACAATGAGGAATCCAGATACCAGATTCAGTGGAGCTACATAAGTGCATCTGCTCCAGCAACAATCTCCAATATCTCGCCAGTGATCTTCGCCTGCCTTTCCCGGTTATAAGCAATCGAAAGGTTCCTCTTTAACTCAACTGCATTATCCGTGGCATTACTCATTGCATTCATCCTAGCAGCAAGCTCACTCGCAAATGACTCTTGAAGTGCCCTCAAAATCTGGCTATTCAAATAGAGTGGCATCAAAGCATCAAGAATCTGAGCAGGATCTTGCTCAAACTCTAAATTACACAAATAACTTCCCCTTTTCACCCTCAAATGATCCCTTTCAACTATCAATTTCCCTTCCTTAGTAGTCAACCTAAAGAACTCATCTTCATCTACATCAACACTTTTCCCATTCACATCAAGAACCTCTCCTTTCGACGAAATTGGAAGCAAAGTATGTATTACTGGATCAGATTTAATCAATGAAACAAATTTAGTATACAAAAGCTCTACTTTATCAACTTCTTCACTCACAAACAATGAAAAAACATCATCAGCTATAACCTGAGCCTCTTTTGTTGTAGGAAAACTCTCTCCTTCAACAAACCTATCAACAAAAAACTTATCCCTCCTTCGACGAAAATAAGCATTACCCTTTTTACCAACACTAATCACACTACATTCAATACCAAGATTCTTCAATTCTTGAATACGTGTCTCTGCTTTTTTTAGTATTCCATTATTAAAACCCCCACAAAGGCCTCTTTCACCAGTAATAATAACAAGTGCAACTTTCTTTACAGGCCTAATATTCATTAAGGGAATTTCAACATCATCTTCAAATTGAACCTGTTTGGTTATGTTGTACAACATATCAACGAGCGTTTCAGCAAAGGGTCTGCTGCTAATGACTGCTTCTTGGGCTCTGCGAATCTTGGCTGCTGCTACTAGTTTCATTGCTTCTGTTACTTTCTGGGTGTTATTTACAGTTTCGATTCTTTCTCGTAGTCCACGAATATTACCGCAGTGAATTGAGGGCAATTTCCAGAATTGGTAAGGGGAATTTGCGTTTGTTAGGTTAGTATTGGGAATGGGGAAATTGAGGAGTTGAGAAGTGAAAGAGAGTGAAGAAGAGTCAAAGATTGGATTTTTTGAGGAAATCCATATTGAAGAAGCCATTGGATTTGTTTATTGTATGCGGAAGGGTTTTAGATGGGAATAATGAAATAGCTGGGGTTTGTGGTTTTTGGGTTTTGTGGTTTTGCTTTTTTCTGTTTCTCAGAAAGGAGTTTTGATTAGGTTGGGTGAGGTGGAAAGAGCGGATAATTGGTTGTCGTTGTTGGTTCCGAATAGGAGCTTTGCCGGCGTATTTTCCTCGGTTTGTACACCTCATGTTGGCAATTTCAGCCCGAGACTGCCAAAATGGTGGTGGTGTGCAAATAATTTGCAAAAATGGAGTTATATTGCTTTTCCTTTTAGCAAAATACATATGTATACGGCAGAAATCAAAGGGCTCGGTTTCGAGGTCTGAATGGAACCCCAGGCTCATGTTCGGGGTAGCACGAAGTAAAGACCAGGTCTGACTGGAAAGTGCACACCTCGAGGGAGCAAATCGAAGACCCATCATGATCTACCTCGAGGGCAGTATAATTTCGATGACACTCAAAAAAGAGCGGGAATTTCTCAAGGACACGTGGGTCAGGGTATTAGTTATAGGATAAGATTTGTACGAAATGGTACAAGTCCGTACTAGGTTGTTATACAGCTGTACCAATAGAATTCTTTGTCATAATTGGAAATGTATTATATTAGGGTTTTCCCCTCCTATATAAAGGGGATCCAATCTTTGTAAAAATTACCTGATTCACTGCAATAGAATATTCTACTCTGCTTTTCTCGTTTACCGTGCTCCACAATTGTTCTTCAGCTTTATTGTCTTTACTTTATTGTTCATACTTTATTTTGCCCTTAACTCACCTCGAGGCCCCGAGATAATCGAGCTCGAGGACTCCGTTGCTCTATCAACACTGGTTTGGTTCATCAATTCTTCCTACTTTAACTTAATATAACTTGTATATTCATTAGTGTAAGAATAAATCACATATCTTTAAAACCACAAATTATCTTTAATTGTTGCTCACGATTTTCGAGGTAAACAGTTTGGCGCCCACCGTGGGGCTAAAGATATATTGATTATTTTAGTGCTAGTTTTCTGATAACACACGATATTCTTCACACTTTTTCTTGTCAAAGATTCTTTGATTTCAGGCTAAGATATTCTAGCTCAGCAAACGCACCCGTGCATGGAAACGACGATCTCGGATCTCATGGAGAAAACAATGCCACAACTGCAGGGACTGGTGTGCCACCGCTAAACCCTGGGGTTGCACCAGCGCCAAACCCCGTCGATGTTGGTTCACACATTGCCATGAACGTCGATTTGGACACTGATATCGAAGGAAGTGTACGCGGAGGGGATCAACCTGACGCTCAAAGGACACAGGCTCAAGGAGAAAGAGAAGGTAGTCTACAAGTGATTTTTGAGATGTTGCAAGCGCAACAAGTTGCTATCGCTCAGCTGCAAAGTCATCAAAAGACTCCGAGCATGGCTGGGCCAGAAACCGCTCATCGTGTTGAGCCAACCTCGGAAAGATCAAGCAACGATGGCTCAGGAACTGACCCCACCGTCATGAAAATGCTCGAGGAACTCACGAAGAGGATCGAGTCAGGAGAAAAAAAGGGTTGAGGGCAATGACAAAAAGGTGGAAACATACAACTCAAGGGTCGACCAAATACCGGGAGCACCTCCGATTTTGAAAGGACTGGACTCAAAGAAGTTCGGGCAAAAACCATTCCCCCAGAGTGCGGCTCCGAAGCCCATCCCCAAGAAGTTCGGATCCTAGACATCCCAAAATACAACAGGACCACTGATCCCAACGAGCACATCACCACGTATACTTGTGGCATCAAAGGAAATGATTTGGAAGACGATGAGATTGAGTCTGTTTTGCTAAAAATGTTTGGGGAAACTCTGTCTAAGGGTGTTATGATTTGGTACCATAACTTACCACCGAACTCTATTGATTCATTTGCCATGTTGGCAGACTCATTTGTAAAGGCACATGCTGGTGCATAAAAGTCGCAACAAGGAAGTCCGATGTATTCAAGATAAAGCAAAGGGAGAACGAGATGCTGAGGGAGTTTGTGTCCCGCTTCCAGTCAGAACGAATGGAGTTACCCTCGGTCTCCGATGACTGGGCCGTACGCCTTCACACAGGGGCTAAATGAACGAAGTTCGATAGCTTCGAAGCAGCTCAAGCAGAACTTGATCGAATATCCCGCCGTAACTTGGGTAGATGTGCATAACAGGTACCGGTCAAAAATTAGGGCCGAGGACCAGTTGGGAGCCCCCTCGGGCTCAGTTTATCCAAGCAGGCTACTAGCAAAGGAGTCAGGAAATACAGGCAGGAGGTCAAGGACGAATAAGGAAAGATATCAGCCTTACGTCGAGGATCGAAGGAACGTCTCAAGGCGTAATATACCTCGGAACGATCGAAGAGAAGATCGAGTTCAGAGTTCCCGGGGACGCATGAGCAAAATCGAGTTTGATAGGCACTTGGGACCGGTAGAAGCACTCCGACTATCGGAGTACAACTTCAATGTCGATGCCTCATGTATCGTCTCAGCCATTGGCAAAATTAGAGATACTAGATGGCCCAAGCCTATACAGACTGATCCTTCCCAGAGGAACCCCAACTTGATGTGAAAATACCATGGTACTCACGGGCATCAGACCGACGATTGTAGGCAGCTTAGGGAGGAGGTAGCCCGGTTGTTCAACGAGGGGCATCTTTGCGAATTTCTCAGCGGCCGGGCCAAGAACCATTTTCGAGAAAGAGATGCAAATAGGAAGAATGAACCTGAAGAACCTCAACATGTCATTCACATGATCATCGGTGGAGTTGACGTCCCACAGGGAGCGATATTCAAACGTAACGAAGTGTCCATCACAAGGGAGAAAGGGACTCGGGACTACATGCCCGAGGATACCCTCACATTCAGCGAAGAAGATATCGAGGCCTTATCTCAGCTTCACAACGATGCTCTGGTAATTTCTATCCTTTTAAATAAAGTTCAAGTTAAACGTGCTCTCGTGGATCCAGGTAGCTCTGCAAATATAATCAGGTCAAGGGTCATGGAGCAGCTCGGGTTGCTCGATCAGATCATACCAACACCTCGAGTCTTGAACGGCTTCAACATGGCTAGCGAAACGATGAAGGGGGAAATCATCCTCCCAGTCAACGTGGCCGGAACCATACAGGAGACCAAATTTCATGTCATCGAGGGTGACATGAGGTACAATGCTTTGCTTGAAAGGCCGTGGATCCATAGCATGAGGGCGGTACCGTCGACCCTTCACCAAATCATGAAGTTCCCAACAAAGGAGGGTGTGAAAACAGTATATGGAGAACAACATGCAGCTAAGGAGATGTTTGCAGTACACGACTTGACACCGGTATCGACACCATCCGCATCAGAAAAGTCAAAAGACAAACAGGTGGCCAAATAGCAATTACAGACCATACCTTCAGTTGAACCCGAGGGACAGGTGAGCGATGAACAGGTGATCAAGGACGAAGAAGAAGATTTCCTCACCCCACCCCCCCCGAGCCTTTGTTCCCCCTAAGGAATCGGATGCGACGAAGTCCACGATCGAAGAACTCGAGCAGGCCATATTGATTGAGCATCTTCCAGAACGAAAGGTATACCTGGGGACGGGGTTAACCCCCTAACTCGGGAAAAAACTTATTCAATTTCTTATCAATAACATCGATTGCTTCGCTTGGTCCCACTTAGATATGACAGGGATCCCACTAGAGATAACTACCCATCGACTAAGTGTCAATCCTAGGTTCAAACCGGTAAAGCAAAAGAGGAGACCTCAGTCCGAGGTAAAGCATACATTCATCAAAGAAGAGGTAACCAAACTTCTAAAGATAGGATCCATTAGGGAAGTAAAATATCCTGAATGGCTAGCTAACGTAGTGGCAGTCCCTAAAAAGAGGAATAATCTTAGAATGTGTGTAGACTACAAGGATTTGAACAAAGCATGCCCTAAAGATTCCTTCCTCTTGACCAACATCGATCGTTAATCGATGCTATGGCCGGCCACGAGATCCTTACTTTTCTCGATGCCTACTCCGGGTACAACCAAATTCAAATGAACCCGGAGGACCAAGAAAAGACTTCGTTCATCACGAAGTATGGTACGTATTGTTATAATATAATGCCCTTCAGGCTAAAAAATACAGGATCCACATATCAACGCCTAGTTAATAAGATGTTTGAACATCAGATAGTCAAATCCATGGAAGTTTATATTGATGACATGCTAATTAAGTCCTTGCTCGCAGAGGACCATTTGACCCATTTGCAGGTGACGTTCGATATCCTAAGAAAGTACAACATGAAGCTCAACCCCGAAAAATGCGCTTTTGGAGTCGGCTCGGGCAAGTTCTTGGGCTTCATGGTGTCGAACAGGGGTATCGAATCAACCCTGATAAAATCAAAGCCACCGAGGAAATCACCGTGTGAACAATGTGAAAGTCGTACAACGATTGACCGGACGGATAGCTGCCTTAGGCCGATTTATCTCGAGGTCATCAGATCGGAGCCATCATTTCTTTTCCCTACTCAAAAAGAAAAACAACTTCGCATGGACTGTGGTGCCCCCTTTTTCTTGCAAAATTAAGTTTCGACATTTCTGGGACAACTCCTTTCCTTTTGGGATGGGGTAAGGGATTTGAAGAGTCGCCACCTAACGGATTAAGGTGTGTTAGGGCACCTAAAGCAATTAACTCATATAACCAGTTTACATTACCAGAGATCGGGTAAGGGCTCGAAATTACCTTGAGGGGAAGGTGTTAGGCACCCCTCGAGGTCCACAACGGTGGGTCCCGACCGAACTTAAATCAAGCGAATTAGTCTTATGGGATAATAAAATAATTTAGACAAATAGATATTACTTTAAAACAAGAATTAGAGGGGTCCTAGGTTTTTTAGCCTATAGGATCATTTCCATGCAATACTTGGTAACTTTCCCCAAGTTGGGGTGCTACACATGGCATTATCGCACGGGTCATCATTTCCTTTACTACACAATTACTATCTTTCAGTTGTTACCTAAGCGTTCTAGTAGCTTCTAACTCGTGCCTTATGCGTGCACTACCCGTCCCTTTCCTATGGTCCTGGAGGTATTTAGGGCCTCTATTTAGGGTGGTTCTAGACTGACCTATGTTGCTTAAATGATAAAAAGCTAGGCGACAAACAAAATTCAAATAGGACATCATGTAAGGAGCAGATAAGGGCTCATATTAACCTCCACAAATAGACAACAAATGCACGCAATTAAATAGACAACTTTATCGATTTAGGATCCTATAGGCAGGATATCTAGAT